AATATATACAATTATATATTATATAAATCTATATAAATATAAGAAATTTAATGAAGTATAATATTCTCAATTCATAATCGCGATCTAAATAGGAAAGGAATCTACTTCTAATATAGAAGCTGTATCTCACAGACTTCGCGAATGATATCGTGTCCATTTATATCGTGGCCCACACAATTTATCTGCGGGTTCAAGTAACTTGGAATAACCCCATGATAACCTTAACATCCTCCCGAAATATACCAAATCGTACTGATTTAATTAAAGATGCGAAAAGTTGGACAGCCACATTTAGGTATTCAAAAATTATATTTATACGAGGATTTATTTGAAGAAATAAAATGTCACATAAAAATGTTAATAATACTAAAACAATTCTTAATTGTTAATTCTAAAACAATTATAAGCATATTAAAAAATTAACTAAATAACATTACATAAAGCTGACAAGTTACATAATAATTAAGAATTATGTTAAAAATTATTAAATATAAAACAAAATTTTACATTATTCACGTTATATAAAAAATTAATAAAAATATAAACAAAATATATTGATTAAAAATAGAAAAAAATTTTGCGCATCTTCCAGGTACATTTTTTAATGAAAAAAAAAAAAAAAGAATAAAAGCATCATTCCAAAATTCTTCTAACAAATACATTGTTTTCATTTGCGTCACAATTTTATTAAATGAAATAACTTGTCTATAATATTCTTCTTTTTTGAGGATTATTTCTACAATAATGAAGACTGTATAGATTCTTCATTTTTAAAAATTCAATGTGCATATAAATAACGTGAACAATCGAAACGAACCTGCGGCCTGCCGTTCTCATCATAACACTTGTCCTCATTGCGATTTTTTGGCAGCTGTAGTCGACTGAACAGCTCCTCCGAAGGATCGGCCTCGGGATCGGCCAGAACGACGCAACTTCCCACGAGCGACAGCAGGCCCCATATCCCGATCCCCCTCATTTTATTCCCGTGAGGAAAGAAAATCTCTGACTGTCCGAACACTCGGCGAGACTCCTCTCGCTGTTCACGAAACCGACCGACGTATCAGAGCTGTCTTTGAGGTTAGGCAGCGCGTCCATCGACAAAGATCACCGCCGTCGAGCGATCGCTATCGATCGTACATCTCCCATTAACCTTCCATAGATCGGATGCTGGACGACGCCAGACGACGCGCGAGCGGGCTCCGCCGTGGACCACCAACGAGTGTAACGGCACGACGCCCGACGCCGCTTGCACGCGTCTACCTCCCGGCTCTCTCCTGCTCTCTTCCTCTTCTCGCATCGCCCCTTCCCAATTCCCGATCTCCTACGCCCGTTTTCTCAGTAGTTCTCACAGTCCGCCTACGCAAACGTCGGATCGTGTATGTATATATGCTCACAGCACACTTAAATGCCTCGAGTAGGCAATCTCTCGACACGCGAATCTGCACCGATTGTATACACTCCGATTATACGCACTGCATTTAAATATCTATGAATCGTGACCGTGTTTCCAACAGTTTCTGTCTCCGTATCGGTATATATATATATAGTGTTGTGATCATAGTCTTGATATTTACACATAAGATTTTAAATTGTAATTTACAGATTTTTTTGCCATTTTCTATTTTACTTTTTTTACGAATTTCAATTTTTGATATATAAATAAGGAACTATATACAATTAGAATTTTGATTTCTGTAAAAAGTAATGCGTGTAATTTATAAAATTTTATTATAGCGTAAATATTCTCTTAATATCCATAAATATATTCACAATAAATTCTTTTCGATAAGCCTATAATAGAAAGTACATTACAATTTGTAATATCTATATATGTCCCTTTAGTACACACGATTTTCCTTTACTACACATGATGAGTCATTCGTGTTCCGGTTAATTTTCACCATTTTAACAAATATGTATATATAAGAATTAAGTATGATTTATATATATACTTTAACATCATTAGAAAGTATTTACAGTTGTATATTTAAAAAAAATTGTATGTAAATGTTATAATTGATTATTTGATGCCTCCAGTTAAAAAAAAAAGAAGGGCAAGATAACTTAATCATGTGTCCTAAAGGATATACTAAATATCTAGAAATATACATATATAACAAAAAAAATAAAATTGCGCAAGTACATACATAAATGTGAAAAACATTTAAAAAATTCAACATGTATAAATTAATGAATTTGCATATTTAATTTATTTTTTTATCAGACTTTTTACTATCTTTGGTATAGTTATTTTACATAAAAATTATTGTTAAATAAAAATATATATATATATATATATATTACTGAATAAACCTAAAATAATTATCTATATATATATATATATTACTAAATAAATCTAAAATAATTATTGAATAATTAATTATTACTGTATCATACAATTTGTTCTAAGCACACTATCAAAGTGTCCTTGAAGTTCTTTCAAATTTTCAAAAACATCTTTCCTTGGCACTTTGCTCTCATCAAGCTTATTGTCATGCTTTATTAATAAAGCATTCCATCCGGCACTTTTTGCTCCAAAATAATCATTATCTACTCTGTCGCCGATATGCATCGCTTCTTGAGGTAATATTTCTTCTTCACAATGATGTTGCGTCAATCTTAGTGCTTCCTCAAATATTGACAAGCTTGGTTTCTCCTTTCCGAAATCATACGAGGTCAAAACAAAGGTAAAATACTGACGAATTCGAATGTCTTCGAGAATTGATTCCAATCGTTGATCAAAATTCGAGATAACTCCTAAAACAATATTCTTCTTCTGCAAGGAGTCAAGTAGATTAACGGTACCAGGATATTTGTACCAACATTTTCTAGTACTATAGCAGCTTATGAGACTGTCAGCAACCTAGAAAAGAAAATGATAAATGAAATCAAAGGTCTTTTTGCATATAATAATTCAGTAACAAAATAATAGAACCAATTAATAGAAAATAAGTAGAATAGAAAGGAAAAAAAATTAATTAAAGGAAAATTATTTTCAATACTGGAGTTTTAGCTTTATTATTAAATGATTTGTATAGTGATTGAGCAAAAGTAAACCACAAGTCATTATAACAATAAAATGCAGTCAAATGGCTACGAATAATAGAAATAAATTTAAAAGATAGCTACCTGAAATAAAGATAAATTAATCGATACAAGAACTCTTGATGTTAAATTAACAATATAAATAAAATAGAAAGGGCACGTAAGAGTCGGTTATAAAATTCGCACAAATAATAAATGGAAAAAGTTAAGAAATAAAAATTGACTGCAATTAAATTAAAATTGAAACAATAATAACATAATATATTTCGACTGTTAGTTTGAGCCATCTTCAGATGTCATAAGAGAATACATCGAATAATTGTAGTGATAGAGGTAGAAAAAAGGAATGTTACAATAGATCATTATCATTAATATTACCTTATCCAACGTGTCCGTCGACACAGAGGCATGTTGCTCTTTAAACACATTATGTACGATCATTCTCCACCAGTTTTTCCATCCCAACCCGGTGTGCTTGCCGTATATCGGGTGCTCCTTGCTAAGCTGATCGTAATTGTTCTTGAAACTTCGCGCCAATTTTTTTGGCTCGATAAGTAAACCGTGCTGGGAGCCGACCTTGATGTAGTTTTCCTCAAATTTGGTCATCAACAATGTACCAGTCACATCGAAGGTTACAAGACGGGGTCGGATACGATTAATCATATTTCTAATGAGTCTTCGATGATTCTTAATCTCAAAGTAATTAGACACTCCGCAAAAGAACCAATTCGTGACCGCAAAAATTATTATGCACAAACACAAACTGCACGAAAGATGAAAGCCGGGCGATAACGTCGACCTCTGATTTAGCGAGCAGGAAGTTGATTCAAACGATGGGTCGTTATGTTACCATCAGGTGCGTATTAAAAAAATTCGAGGCCCTTTTCGATCGAATGCAGCCCATCTCGATACACTTTGCTGATAAGAGCGATGAACTAGAAATTGATAAAATTCTATATTTTTAAATATAACAAATTATAAACATATTAAAAAGCTAATATAATGACATCAGGGCTGGGTATGTATTTGAAATACTTTTATTTGAAAAACAGTATTTTAAGACAATTGTATTTTGTATTTTCATATGCTCAACAGAGCATATGAAAATATCTAGTACTTCATGGGCGCATATAAAAGTATTTTGTATTTTATATTTCAGTATTAATAACGAAAGATTAAAAGTATTTTGTAACTTGAATTTCAAACACTAAGATTGACAACCAATATTATTATTTAAATTACAAAATACAAAAAAATCTTCAATCTTTGGATTTTAAATATAAAATACTTTCATGTGCTCCGCGGAAATGCAAAGTATAAAATACACTTGTATTGCAAATAATGTGTTTTAGATAAAAACATTTCAAATACATGCCCAGGCCTGCATTACATAAAGCTGAGACTTAATACAATTAAAAATAATTATATAAAAAAATATTATATGCAAATAATGTATCTCACAAATGTTAAGCACAATCTAATTATCAGATGCCCTTTTTCTCTACGTAAAAACAAATTCGAAAGATACAATAACGGACTTGAAAGAGAATGGAGTTACTCGCTTACAAATAAACTGATTTATTACAAAGTTGTACATGGATACAAGGTGGCGTATTTCTTTTCTTATTTTATAAAAAGGACCGATCGTCCCGTCCGTTGCACAACATTCCGGCCAAAATTCGAAAGGATGCTTCCGGCCTACCGAGAACCGACGAGATTATCGCTGACGAATGCGATATAATAATGATAATTAATAATATCCCCCTATAAAAATGTACATAGTGTGTATAATATCCCTAATTATACACAATGATTGGAATTATTTTATACATATATATACAAATGCGTTGTATATGGGCCGGTTTCACCAATGCCGATCAAGCTTAATCGTGATTAATTGTCAACCACAATTGGTCGATTCTACTAAACAGCAAACGCGATTGGTCAGTCAACGGTAGATTAAGCTAACTGGTGTTTATGAAACTGGCCCTATATATATGTAATAATAATAACCATAACGCGAGATAATAATCATATAATATATATGTATATAATATAAATTTCTTGATCAAAAAGTCCATTCGTATTTTGTTTTATTAACATTTTTATCTCTAGGTAATATTTATTCCATTATTGACTTTATTTGTAAAAATTACATAAGACGAATGAATTTCTTGATCAACATAATATATTAATAATAATATATTAATTTTATAGCAGTCGTCGCTTATATTATATCTAATCGCGATTAATATTTGCACAAATAAAAAACTAATCATATAATCTCACCTCTATACACACACGCACATTTAGAGATATTTATGTATTTATGCAATACATACATATCATTGTAAAAAAAAAGTTTACCCGCTAAATACATTGGTCAGTCTCACAATCATTATTTTTAATATTTATGCAAAATTTCATTCTTTATCTTTCCCTAAATCTCTCACAAAAGTTTCTGGATTTTTGAACCTCGTAGAAATATATATATCGAGTTGAAAGATATATTTATCTTAAATGGAAAATACAATGCCAATGCCTTTTTTTTACTATATTTTTTAATTCCAAAATGTTATATTATTCTTTTTAGGTCCAAAAATTTAATTATATAATCTAACTTAATACTTTATATTTTGAGAACAAATTTACAAGTTCAAATTCAATTTACACATACACAAGTATAATTCAATTTTAACGTTTATCAAAATTTTAATATTTAAGGATTGCAAGATTTTAAATAAATTTATTCCAATAAATTTATTATGAATTTAAAACGTATAAAAAATTTATCAAAATTTAAAATAATTTCTAAGCGAGTAAAATAATTTAAACACGAATAAAAATTCTTCAATTTTATATGAAACGCTTGATTTATTATACAATTCGCATCTATTATTTTTATACTTTAATCATTAAATTTTACAATATAAAAGTAAAAAAGCAAATCCCGAAACTTTTGCAAAGATATAAGAAATATATAAATCACACCGCATGTATTTTTTCGTGGATCATTATTTGCTTAGATTATTATTGATTAAATAACACGCGAGAACACGCGCATTAATTTAATTACAAATATTTTATCATATGTATATTTTACCAATATTTATGTAGAAAATGTGTATCAAAAATTTTGTGAACACAATCTGGTTGTGTTTCCTTATTATTATGATAATCAGAATTTATTTATTATTTAACATAGCTAATCTCTATCATAATAGATTATTATTATTATGATAATAAGTAAATATATATATATTAAAATACATTATTTATTCGAATTTATTTCAAATGTATCAATGTTAAAACAAATCCGAATAAAATAGCTTTTATTTGTACAGATTTGTCATTTAGTACATGTCATATTCTACTTATATATTATAATAATAATTAGTTATTATTTCGTGTGTCCAGGTTGATCTGAAAATTTTCCGATTAAGAAATGCAAATAAAAAATATACTCAGAACTTTTCGAACATGATACAATTAATGCGAAAAATTCTTTTTCCGGCGACAATAACGCCGTTATGTTGCGTGTGTTCTCGCGAATATCAATTATGCAAAAAAAAAGAATGGATCTTGCTATCTCAAGATGCCAATAATTTCTCGATGTAGTAGTAATTCACGAATGACGTCTCGGCGATATCAATATCAACGGATCACTGACAAGGAGTAAATTATGGAAGATTTTTTTCTATTAATATAATTAACAAAATTGATAGGAGAAATAATTTTTCAGTATTGTGAAGTCAAAAACATGATACGTAAATAACATTTTTATAATAATTTCCAAATACACACACAGAACCGTAACTTTTAATTAAAACTGCTTTTTAAAATATATACTATAAAATTATCAAAGTTCATTTTTTACTGTAAAGCTACATACACTACACAGAAATCTTACAGCTTAAAAAACTGTTTACAATTTGCGATTTCAATTTTGCTGTACAATATTAAAAGAACATTCTTTATTTAAATAAATTCATTGATTTTTCACTCCTTTTACAGTTGTCTCCGCGATATATACAATTTTAGTTTTATTGTATTTTTATATTATTTGTGTTTTGTATTTCTTTTCCTGTATCATATCTTATGTTCTATTGTAAATTTTTGTGTACTTGTTTCATGCACTTGTATACTTATACAATATCATATATCTTTATATATATATATATATATCCTCTGATAAATAAAATTTGAATTTACAGTGTAATCATTTTTCTCCATTTCTCTAAAACTGGAGTATTTTCCTAAATATATTCGAATATTTTTGTTATATTGATACGCCATTTATCACACCACATTTGAATGTGAAAACACTTTGCAATTTCTTTAAATTTAATATCGTTGATAAAATTTGCTTGAATATTTAAAAAATTAACTAACAATTGATATCAATTAATTAATATCGGTATCATTAATATATCATTAATGATATTTAAAAGTATTAATTAATATCAATTTAATAGCTAATAATTTATACTAACTGATCACTTAAGGACATGAGAAATAAATAATTTTCAAGATATATTGCCAGTCATTGCATTCCCGTTATTTCATCGATAACTGCATTTATTTTCTGGCAGTGTAAAAAAATCACGAAGTAAAGATCACTGATCCATATAAAAATATATATGCATATGATGTACATGTAAAAATTTACATAAAAAAGGAATATTATGTTTAGTAATGAAGATAAATCGACTTATGAAATAAATAAATAAGAGAAACTATGTTTTGTAACCTAGACGGAATCATAGTACTCGCTTTTTGAGTTGTCGAGCTTTTTAGTTTCATAAATACATTAAATGCTAAATTTAATTTAAATAGAAATTTAGATTTAAATATTTATAACAAATATTCAATACTAAATTCAATTTAAATATAAATTTGTATTATATACTCTTTCTTTCTATATAATCATTCAGCTTCAATCATCGTATATATTAACTACGATAAATCATAATAAGAGAATAATAATTATCAGTATTGTATATCTCACAATAAAGAGAAATGATAGAGATCATACAAGAAATGTACAAATGTGATCTATCGCGGGAAAAGGCGGTTAGCGTTATCCTTCGATAGATCAGACTTTTCGATGTTTGATTATGAAAAAACTGTTATCGCTTCCTGTTACGATATTATACGATTGTCGATGAGCTTTCGCAAGTCCGATGGGCAATTTAAACGAGCTTTTTTCTATTTTCATAATTTAATAATTTTAATTTCAATATATAATTTTATTTAATTTTATTAATTTTTTTTTTATTTGATTTCTTTTAATATTCTGATCTTTATCTGTTTATTAAATTCAAAAGGAGATTACTCTTTTTGGTTCACCAATAGTAACCTCTAAATTTAAATAATTTTGATTATCATACTCGAATGAATTTTACAACTCTAGATTTCGAATCTTATTGAATAATAGAATGACTCGCTTAGCGCTGGACGGATTCGACAATATGCATTGCACATCTCATACTTTTTCATTATGTCAAATCCAACTTTTAAGCCAAGAGTCATTATGTTTGCCTTGCTTTTTCGAAATATAATGATTTATAAATCCGTGATTCTTTACATAAAGATAACAAAAATATACTGCATTCTTAAGTATTGTTTTATAGCATCGAATGCGTATCACATATTTTTTTAAATGATTCTATAAGATAGAATCTTTGATATATGTTGGAATTTACGGATTCACGGTTGATTTAACATTGTAGATTCTCGGTTCCACGGATACATAAATCCTGCTTTTAATG